GGTGCGAGTGCACTTGAGTGGTTAATAGAATTTTTCTCGATAACAACGATGGAAAACGAATTAAATTGTTTTTTTTCTCTAGCGTTCGACACGCGTGAAACGATGCGATCGAGATTCATACGTTTTTCGGCGTGACAATTTTTTCTACGGATTTACGGGCACCCACTAATTACGATAGAGCGGCGGTAATCTTCGCGGCGTCGGGCGAACACGCACGAAGAAACTTGCGCGAACTTATTACCGAGTGACCTAAAGCCGTACTAGCTTAAGACAGATTTATCATTTCGGTGTGTGGTTTAATTAGAAATTCTAACAAGCTTCTACAACAAATATTCCGTGTACACCGAAAGTTGTACCGATGCGCCGAGCGAAAGTAAACCGCGGGATTCCGCTTAAGAGATCCGTTATTCCCCGCGTCCTTTATTTATGTCCGTTACGAAAACAATGGCGCGACGCCGGGGAGATAATTTGCATATAAATTCATACAAACGCTCCGCAGACGATTACCTAATCTAATCGACAACGGGCCCGGTAGAATGGAATAGAAGTTGCCGTGAACCGCCCCTCTAATTGTGCTCGCTTCGACGCCGCCCCGTTCATTTTTGTAACACGCGACACATTGTCCAAAGTGGTTATGCCGTGGACCGTTATTTTCCGTTTGCGGGCAGGAAACGTAGGATCATTTATATTTGTTATGGCCATTGTCGCGGGGATCCAGTCGAAGGAACAGACCTATCTGTATCTCACGGAAATCCGTGACGCGCCCCCGCGACGATGTTTTTTGAGAATTAAATTAAATTTCAACGCGCCGACTCGCGTCATTTATAATCGGTCGTTGTTCCCCTCGAAAAAATAAATTGGCGAAACTTCGGCCGGGTGGTTCTTTCGAAGGTGGAGCTTCCCGAGCGAAACGGGAACGCGAAATCTTGACGGTGTTGACCCGTCCGACGAAAAGTTATGCAATCAGAGGGTTTAATTAATGAGCATAAACCATTTGCAGATGAAAAGAAACGTATTTTTTATCGTACGTTCGTAGCCGCCGGCGGAGTCTGAATCTCGCGGAGAGTCGTCGACGAAGTTAATTACGAAATTAACGAACGCACCCGTGCGCGCGGCAACGTGTACCGCCGGTGAAAAAGTTCGGGCCGGGATGATTTTACAGATGACCGTAAAAATTTCGTCCGGTGATACAGTGACGCTCGGCTTTATGGCCGGGGCGAGCCGGATTCGACGGTAATGCTATCGGGACTTCCTCTTTACCACAGTATCTTCCTCGGTATTGACGGAACCTGAAAAGATTCCTTTTAACGGAAATCTAAGAATGTATATCGTTGCATCGAGGCACTCAATTTTTTTCTCCTTAATAAGTAACGAACTACTCTTTTTCGACGGGGAAGGGATACGAATGAATATTTGTACTTTTATGGGATCGATACGGTTTACCTCATTGCATTATTTCACGAATAATGGGAAATATTTTGACTATTTCGATGAACTGCAGCACGAGGCAGTGTTAAATAAAAGAGCAGGGGTGCTTACGTCGTGAGGGGTGGTCGTGGCAGTGTCCGTTTTTATCGTAGCAAAGGCTGCGATCGTCGAACAGTCGAAGCCTTCTCATAGCGTAGGAATCGTTATTTTATTCCCTTATTTCACGTAAAACGGCCTTTT